AGTAGCTGGGCAACCACATGAAGCAAGCTGACTGCTAGCAGAGAGCCACTTTACGGTTATCATTGGGTCCTGAAATTGTATTCCATAGAGTAGTCACAGATGAAAATGGGCTGAGCAGTTTGATTCTAACTTAGGGCTCTTTCTGTCTCTGTGTTTTATGGACAGACATCTCAAATGCAGTACTCTTCTTTGTCCTGACAAGAGACTGTTGCCATTTTTAATAGATACAGGTGTAGCAAGTCTGTTACTGCATAGAGACCATGTCGTATTTAAGTAGCAGGTTGGTAAAAACCTAGTGTTAGAAGTTGCATACTGGTGGCCCTAAGCCAATTCCCTGCATAGTGCTGTGCTCTTGGAAACATGAGGGATTTCCCTAAAGAGCTTAAAATACATGGTGTGGATGAGCAGCTTAAAGAATTCACAGTGGTTCAAGGTCAAATATGATAAATGTGGTGGTGAAGGTGCCATAGATGATCTGGAAAATCTGAGGTGGGTGAGATTAGTATCAGCCCATGCAGTCAGGAAAGGTGTCACGGACCAGTGCACACTTGAATCGGGCCACTTTCTGTGCTGGCTAGAGCAAGTGTCTCCGTGTATTTTCTGCTGTTCTTGTTCGGTTTCACAGAGACTTCAGCAATTTTGCCTCAGGTTTTTGCCTGAGTTTCACTAGGTCTGAAGAGTGATATGTAGATTTAAATATGGGTGTTGTCGATGGACCTTTTAACTCAGATAGGAGGAACCCTGATTCCCTTTTAGAATTTAGTGTCTGATCATTGTGGTTTGGACTTTAGAGTCTGTGCCCCTTCCTCTTGCTTGGAAAGTGTTCCCCCTCTCCTTCAGTGTGGACTTCGTATCTTTCCCCAGAGCTCGACCTATAGTCAATGCTTATGGACGCTTGCTGACCTCCGCTCCCCTGGGTGGCCTCCGTAAGCCTGTTCCCTCCAGGCAGAGCCCTCTGCTCCTCCTTGCCCTCCAGCCGCATGTCAGGCCTGCTCCTGCTCAGGCCGTTTGCATCTGATGCCCACTCTACCTGTCTTCCCCAGACACCCACACTGTGCCTTCCTTCACTTCACTCATATCTCTTCTCCAGGGTCACCTTTTTAAGAAATCTTTCCTGAGTACCTTATTTAAAGTGTCACCCCGTCACATTTTATTCTCTTACTTTGCTTGATCTGTTTCCTTTGTTTCTTTATGGCACTTACCATTACCTGCCAACATATTTCTATTTATTTGTTTATTTGCTCACTCTCCCTCCCTCCAGATTCGCGATCCATGAAGGCAGAGACTTTGTCTTTTCCCATTTGCGTTTCCAGGCCCTGGAGTAGTGCCTGGCACATAGAGGGCACACTTCACTTATCTATTGAATACATGCACAAATAGCCCTATGAGCAGGCCCTCAGTCAGCACCTGCCCCACTGTATAGTGGGCTGTGTCTGTATGGCTGGCCTGTTACTCATCACTGCCTCGAGATCCAGCTTGCCACCTGCCGTGCATCAATGTGTAGTCCAGTTTGTAAATGGACGGAGAGAGGCCTTTGAGGTGGGACTCAAAAGCCACAGGTTCTCATTAGCCCTCTTCTTCCTTGCCCTCTCCAGTCTTTAGATGCCTTCTCCAAATATAGGTGCTTCTGAGACCCAGACGGCAAGCCTTGCTGTGCTCCAGCATCATGTCCGTGGGGTTGGGTTGCTGTGACACGTCTTTGGCTTCTCAACCCTAATGCTATTAAACTGGTTCAAACCAGTTTAGTTCTAGTTTCCATGAGCCGTTGAAGCCCTGGGGAGCCTATCATAGTAGAACTTGCAGATGCAGAGCAAGATTTGAAGGATTAACTGACTTGTCCTACAACTGACAAGTGGCAGAGGCAGCTAACTAGAGTCTCAGCTCTTAACCGGGGTTGTATAGTTGCTTCACGTGGGATCGCTGGGACTCCTCTGAGACGCACCAAAGGGTAGTGTGAGGGTTTGTTCTATGAATCAAAGACAGCAATTACATTTCTGTATAATCTACATAGAACCTACATTTCTGTATAATCTGGTTTAAGAATCTCCTGGACTATTTTCCTTCCCTGTGGTTTTCTTGGCGCATTGTGTTTTGCTTTTGTTTATTGGTGAGCAGCCCTGTGGCATTTACTGTCTTAGAAAAACCTAATAGGACAGCTGTGATAGAGAGGAAGACCCAGATTGTAAATAGCTCTTTTCTTGGGCTGCCAAAAAGGAAGAAACTTGGGTGGAGGGGGATATTACTACCATCCTGTGTGAAGCGAAAATTCTAAGCAGGGAGATTCAGTTCTCTGTTTTCATTTAGGTGTTATTTAATATATTCCCCATTCCCCCAAATTTCCAGATGGGCGTTCAGAGGAAATGCTAGTTAGAGAAAAAGCAAGGGAGGTGGGTAGACCTTACTGGTTGGAAATGATGCAGCTTTATGCAGGGAAGTCCTTGTCTTTCTTCCTTGTCCTTTCAAATTGTTTTGAGGTTGAGTTTTAGTGCTGGTAAAGGATATCTAAGCTTAATCACCTCTAGACCAGAGATGTGGAGGTAAAAGTTAGAGAGTGAAAGAAGGCTTGCTCAGTCCTGCCTTTTTTTTTTTTTTTTTTAAAGTGAGGGCGGTTTAAGTCTTAGTTTTCAGGTTACTTTGGGACCTGGATTGAGATCATTGAGGAGCTAGCAGATTCCTAGTGGAGTCCTCAGGGCTGACAAACCTGTGCTCCTGACTGCCTGACCCATTACTGATATTTTCTTTTTCCCAGCTCCTGTTGGTTTATTCTAGTCATCTTGCTGTTGGATTGTTATTCCAGCCTTGTACTACTGCATCTTTACCTCCTCTTGTCATCCCGGTTAGATCGTAAAGTCCTTCTTCAGCCAAATGCCAAGAGCTCTATAAATGGGAGTTTGGGATCTGCCACTGACTTGGGGCCAATAATTTGTTTTTTGATTCTTAGTGTCACCTATTTTTTAATAGAATGACGATGTTTTGTCTGGTGGGTCAGTTTGAAAATGAGTATGAAAACTGTACCTCCTAGTTTTCCCAGACCCATTTCACTTTCTGTCATTCTCATCATTGCCAGGCACAGGTATATAATTTTTGATTTAGAAAATGAGGTTATTGTATGCATGTGACAGATATAATTGCTTTTAACTCTCTGTTTGGAAGGTGCTGTAGGAATCCAAGCTCATTGGAGGATGGGGATGCCACGATGTACCTCAGGCTCCTGACCCTGTCACCAGCATCCTTAATTGACAGTGAACGAATAACCTGGATACCAAAGCATGCCTATCTTCTCTTTTCACTTAAAATTGATCTTAAGATTTTAAACCTAATGTAGACATGCTTATTAAAGTGGCCCAGGTCACACATATACAACCATTTATTAGTAACAGTTTGATGTTTTTCTTGGTTTTCTTTTCCCTGTGCACAGGTTCTTTCCCCTCTTTCTTTTAAAAAATTATTACAAAAATACACAACTGCATTCTCATTGTGTTTTAAACAGTGTGGTAAAATACAGAGCAGAACATGAGAGTCCCTCTCCACCATCTGTAGTGTCCCCCAACGCACATTTCCTTTCCCAGAGGTAACCACTGGCAGCACTTGGCGAGCACTCTTCCCATCACCATTCACCGTATGTGCGTGTACATACACACTTTGAAAGCAAGGGCTCCTGTTTTGTGTACTACACAATGACTACTTTTTTTCACTTACCCATAGCACAGTATGTCTTGGGAAATCTTTCTACGTCGGGACATATAGGTCCAACTTGTTTTCTTTACCTTGTTGTGGTTGTTGTTGTTAATAGTTATGTAATAATAATTCATCGTATGGGCATACCTGGCATTTAACTGCCCACCTATTAATGGACATGAAGTGTTTAGTTTTTGCTCTCACAGCAAAGCAGTCCTGTACAAGCATGTATCTTTGTGCCTGTGTACAAGTGTTTCTGTTGAATAGCTGCCAGGAAGTGGAAATGCTGGCTCAAAGTGAGTGCCTATTTTTGGTTTGGTGGATGCTGCCAAATTGTCTTCCCAGAGGAATTCACCAATTCAAACTCATACCAGTGGTATATAAGAGTGCTTGTTTTCCTGATCTTTATAAATACCTTTTATTCTCATTTTTGTCAGTCTGATTGGTGAAAAGTAGTGTGTTGTTTTGTTGTTTTAAATTTTATTTTTAAGTAATCTCTACACCCAGTGTGGGGCTCAATCTCACAACCCTGAGATCAAGAGTCATATGCTCCACTGACTGAGCCACCCAGGCGCCCCTGTCTCTTACATCTTAACACATGTGTCCTGGTGCTTTTATTAATGTGGGTTCTTTCATCTTGGTTCTTGCTGGTCAAATCATTCAGATTACCTGTAGGTCTATATTGAAGTCTCTCTTAAGTCTTCATTCACCAGTGTAGAGGTGGGTGTTCAATACCCGTGACTGGCTGAATGGTTGGTTCAGTGGTATTTTTGATGACCCTTCAATGAACTGTTCTTACAATCCTGGCAGTAGTTAGAGGCACGAGTCCCATACTGAGTGAATAATGTCATTAAAAATGAGAAGGGTACATGGGATGCCTGGCTGGCTCAGTCCGTAGAGCATGCAACTTTTGCTCTTGGCTTTGTGGGTTCGAACTCCACATTGGGGGTAGAGTTTACTGAAAAAAAAATACACAAAAGAAAATGTAATACTTCATTGGCTTATAGAGCAGAGTTCAAACATATGCCTGAAAAAAAATGTATTCAATTTAAAAAATTAAAAAAAAAAAGATGAGAAGGGTACAAAAGAGCAAGCTCTTAAATGATATTGTTATCTTGACGCCTGACTCCCTTTCAGCAAACGATTGTGTATTGTCAGTGTTATGCATTTCTGTAGTAAAAAGCTGCTGTCCTTTATCAGGAGTCATGTGGATGTAACTAGTTTGGTTAAACACCACAGAGAATTCTTTTCTAAGCATTTAGCTGGCTCTAAATTTGGTTTGTGACTTCAGTTTTCTTTTTTCTGTTTTTCCCCCTCTATAGCATCTGGAGAGGACCAAATGTGAACTGTGTTGACAGCACTGGGTATACACCTCTACACCATGCTGCTTTGAATGGCCATAAGTAAGTATTAATGTGCTATATTCCTGCCCTACCCTCCAGAACCCAGGCCTTTGGATTGTCTTTTCTTGGTTTCTATAAAGGATTACTAAGCAGTAATGTTGAGGAACAGGGAAAAACAAACTAAATTCAGTCCATCCAGAGTTCCTGAGTCTCTTGTTAGTATATAATTTAAGCACCCTTCCCTACTCCACCCCCCAAAAAACTTCAACCAAAGGTTAAGTTTTACCTTTTCTGCTTTGAAATGGTGCAGTGCCACACAGTGATCTGAATATGAAGGTCACATTTGGGGCAGCCAGATCATAAAGGGGCTGGATAGTCTCTTAGGGAACCAGCACCTTTGTGACCTGAAAATAGATTGAGTGGTCGTAAGAAACTTCCCTTCTGTTAAAGTAGTTATTTATTTACTCTTTTGGCTTGCCATTCTTCCTCATACAGTTAGCCTTGTAGACAACAAGAGCCCTTTTTAAGGGGAAAAATACATAAATCATAAGACCTATTTAATTCTCCTAGGTATTGGTTAGTAGTTATTGGATGGGATTTACGCAGAAAGTTTTCTGGAGAAACCGTGCTTTGGGGGGAGTGTGAGAGAAGATGACATAGGTTTAAATGGTTTGGCAGCCTTTTCCAGAGGGCACTGCCCTCCATGTGAGAGAGAATGTGATGGCTCAGCCCACGGGCAGGCAGAGTCATGGAGTACAGTGAGTAGATTTGCCAGGATGTGGAAGAATGGAAACCAGAGTGTAGCAGCACAGAGGGTGATAAGGAGAGTTTGAGGCATCATACTCTAGGAGATAAGAAGTAGAAATTTAGTTTTCATGAGGAGGGATTATTGGAATCATTTTCGATTTTGCTGAGCAAGGAGCAGGGCCCTCACTACCTTGTGGTATTCCACATCACTTGTGCGGTATTTGGCCCAGCCTGATGGACTCTGATGTGCCAAAAAGAGGTGATGATTGTTTCCTTCTACATTAAACTTTTCTGAAATATATTGAATGTGATCCTTATGTCTTTTCTATGGCCATCTTAGACAAAGCTAACAAGGGCTCTGTGGAGACCCCTCCCCCCATAACTAGGGGGGGGTAACCTGAATTAAAGTGAATCTTGAACTTAAATGACTGCAGCTTGTTAGCCAAGCTTATCTCCAGATGCTGTTTTTATTTACAGTGGGGATTTTCTTTGACCTCATGTGCATGGGGATAATTATATATTTGTATCTGCTTAATTAGAGGTGTCACCAAGAAGAAAGCCAAGCCCTTCTTTCTGGATATATCAAATGATACCATATGTGTCTGGCTTATGTTTGCAGCAACTTTAATTCTACTCTGCCTGTCTTCTTTTGGCTCCCACATCACTAAATGCTCTGAATAATGTGGTGAATAATGATATTTGTCTTGCATGACTACTTTTATGTAAATTTTATCCCTGAATGCTGTTTAAACATCACAAACAAGGAAACACTGCAAGGTTTAGACAAGGGGACCAGACGTTTTCAAAATAATGGAATATAGGTGGATTGTCTAGAAAGCCTGGAGAAATGGCGAGGTGATGAGTCAGTGTCGTTTGGCTCAAGATATTTCAGCCGCATATCAGCAGCTGTATACGTAGCTCATGGAATAAAAGGAAGAGACTGGGTGATGAGCTCAGGGAGAGAGAGGGGAGTCGAGTGGGGTAATATCTGAAAAGGGCTTCATGCTACCCAAATGTGAAGAGCTATTAGTAGGAAAGAGTTCTGAGTTCTGCAAACTCATGATTGATTTTTGCCTTCTAGGGATGTGGTTGAGGTTCTTCTGAGGAACGATGCATTGACCAATGTGGCTGATTCCAAAGGCTGTTACCCTCTGCACTTGGCAGCCTGGAAAGGAGATGCCCAGATAGTGCGGTTGCTCATCCATCAAGGGCCCTCACACACCAGAGTCAACGAACAGGTCGGAAGGAAGAGAAGCGTTCTTCCCTTCAGCTACAGCCAGACCGTGGCGGCCCCAGCACTGTTTCAGTTCCATAGCACAGATCTCAGGGAGCCAGCTCTTCCAGGCCCTACAAATGCTTCCCCCCTGTCCCAGCGCCACTCCTCCGAGGGCGTCAGGGAGATCTTATACCCCAAGGATGCATTTTACATGCATTTGAATCGTGCAGATTTGGAGTAGTGCTATAATAAAGATCTACACACCTCGTGTGCAAAATGGGAAATAATACAAATCCCGTAAAATTGCTTAGAGGCCATTTCACACTGGCAGGCTTAATTAATTACAAGTTGTGCTTACGCCATCAACATGGCAGTGCAACTGTAGCCGGTAAATAGCAGTCCTCTCGGTGCGGTGCGCATCAGTGCTGCGTGAATCCTGCTGTGTTTCCCTTACATCACAGCTGCCAGAAGTGGAAGGACGCAACCCCGGGACTGAAAAAGGAGCTCACAAAAACATCTGAGTAAGCTCAGGGGTCAGAGGTGATTCAGCAGAATGAAAATCATTTACATGATGTCCTCTAAGGTCAACTTAAGAGTGACCATGCTTTTACAAAGCAGAGATAATTCTTAGAAAATAAAGAAAAAAGGCAGCATTTGAGCAAAAATACCTTAAAATGGCCATGGATTTAGGTACTGTGAGACCGTACCTCCTCTTTTTTACATTGATTCCTTTGGAAAAGTTATACTTACTTTATGCAAGTTCTAGACAATCCTCAGAAGATGCAGTTTCCTGTAGTTTGGGTCTGAGATCGTGTGTCCATTTGAGAGGAGATGGGCTTTCCCTGTGTGACAGGCCATTCTGTTTTCCTCACTGCTCTGAATCGAAGCAGGTCCTTTTCTTAGTTGCTTGAATGAGAGAGAGAGGCTGCTCTTTCTCAGTAAGCCCAGGACTATTTTCTTAATGACTTTGCTGAGAGGAGATTGTTAAATTACCTATAGGATTAGATCAGGGTTATGCCTCAAAAAATAGGAAATCATTCTTGCCAGCCCATCTGTCAGCAAGGTTATGCACACTCTCAGTGAGCTGTTAGGAGCATGACTGACTCAGAGAAGGGCAGCTTCACTCTGAGGTTTGAGAAAATTAAAGCAATGCTCTCAGATCTTTCAGTTTGGAGATTGTGTGTGTATAGCTGTTCATCAGCCTCCCTTTCCCCTTTCAAGCTGTATTTTCTGGATAGATAAGCCACAGAAATTTAAGATCATCAATGAGGATGTTTGTGTTATAACATTAAAGAATGAAAATTGTCTCTAGAATTGCTGCTTCAGAATCTAAATGCAGTTTTACTCCTCCTGGCTAAACTGATTGTAATTTCTCTTAACTGGAGGAAATTTATAAGGAAGTTTGCTTTTGACTAATATTCCTCAATGTTGAACAAACTAGTCACCCATTAAAGTCCTTCTCGTTTAAGAAATTTTCGGCAACCATTTCTAATCCTGTCTTTGCTCACTTTTGCCTTGGAACACAGCTGCTTGGATTTTTGGGCCACTTGAGTGTGCTAGCTTGTCCTGCTCACAGCTGCCTCCCGCCTTGGAGTATCCACTGATAGGTGGGACACCCACCCAGTGTTCTGAGTATGTGGCAGGCAGGTGGGTGGGGCAGGGGCTGGGCAAGACGTCTGTAATAGCTGGAAGAACCTAATGGCTCTAAGTAGTAGTACCACACCACACTGAATGAGGCTCCAGTTGGATGCTTGGATAAGAGCGGGTGATGAGTGCTGTGCCCTCGAGCCTGCCTTCCCCATTCACTTCCTTTCCAGGAACCCAGAGGGCAGATCCAAGTTGTTCTCATGTTGGGCCCCCTCAGGGCTGGGCTTTGCTTTGATATATTTCATCCATTTTATCATCACATTTTCTTTTCCTCTCCTTTTTATAGAATGCTCTTGAGATCAAAGAATTCAAAAAGTACGGCCCCTTTGACCCTTATATCAATGCCAAGGTGTGTACGTTGCTGCCAGGATTTCTCTGCATCATTTCTCCAAGCTGCACTCCCTCTTTGGTCCTCTCTGGCTTCCACTCTTGTCCACTCAGGCTCCTCATCATCACCCTGACTATTGTCTGCTTCAGCCCATCTGCTTTTGGCTTGTCTGGGAATGGGAAACTGCAGCTCCAGTGGGTTTGAGTTTTATTTTTAAAACCCATGCTAATTCTGGAAAGGTTGGGTGCTTTTCCTGGAATGTCTGAAAAGCTTAGAAATGGCCGAAATGGGGAAAGAGAAGGAACCATATTATATGCATAATTTACCATTGTGATTGCTAAAATAATTTAAATTGAAGAAAGAAAAATTCAATTAAGAGATGTCAAACATATTAGCTTACTTTTTAATAAACACAGAAAAATGAATAAATTGTACTAACTGGATTAAAAAATTTTTTTTACTCTGCTTTCTCTATTTCTTTTGAAGTGGAATCTCATTTTCAACAAGCTCGTAGTGGAGGTGTTGGGGAAGGGGTTTGGGGACTCCATTTTACTCTTAAAAGCTGTCCTTTCTGGCTCCCTCCTCATTTCCTTGAGTTTGTGCATTTCTGCCTGGGACTTTAAAGCCTCCGTTGCTTCTCCCCAGCTATTAGCTTCTCTTACTGCTTGGTCATTCTTGGCCCTGGGAAGGGCTCTGAAATAGGAAATGAAGTCGCAGCGTCAAGCAGGGCACTGGTCTTGAGTCTCCCTCCCTGTGAGGCTGGGGCAAGTAGTGGCCCTGTTAGGCCTGGTGATTAACTGCCCAGACCCTCCAGCCTTCACCACACCAGGAGGCAGAGCTTGTGGGTTGGGGATGGTTAGCCTCTCTCCTCGGTGCTCTCACCTGCTGGTTTTGACCTGAGTTTTCATTCAGGAAAGGTTTGCTTTTTGGCAGCAGTCTGGAGTTTGGTTGAGTCAGTACGTTAGTCACATTAACTACCTTTCCCTTGCTCTGAATACAGTTGCCTCAGGGAAGAGAAACATTAAGGTACTTCTGCGTGTTTCCAAATGCAAGGCAGATATTCTTTGAGAAATGCTGATTTAGCGAACCGTGGGCTGGATCTAGGCAGCCTCTGTGGGCCATGGATTAGCTGTCGGGCCTTAATGGCAGAGAAGCAGTTTGATTTGGGGTAGTGGAACACATTAGCTTTTGTTTGGCCCTCTCTCTCTGAATTCTGTTTTCTAATTTTCAAAAGAGGAAGGTACCCTATCTTCGTTTTCTTCTTTTTTTTTGGACTTGGTGTAGTAGAGGAGAAAACTCTTAAGGGTCACAGCCTTTCAAGTCAGGCCTGAGTTTGAATTCCGTGCTGCCACTGACTGGTTTTGTTGACTTAAAATAAGTTACTTAATTTCTGTGAGCCTCAGTTTCCTCTTCTGTAAAGTGCAGTATACCATCTACCTTGCTGGATTGTTTTGGAGTTTAAATAAGAGAATGTACATTAAGTACAACTATCTGGTAACTAGTAATATTTGAGATCTGACTTTTAAAGGGTATATACAGTGTGGTGTTTCTGAAACAGCACTTTGGAACCTATTCTTTGTTACTGGTGGATTGAAGCTTAATGAAACATTGCTCAATTAGTCTGTTCAGGGTTTTGTTTTATGGGGAGGCACCGTGAAGTGATTGTTTTCCCACTCGGTGGTTAGTTCAGTTAGCTTATAAAACTCTGATTAAAGGGTAAGTCTTTGGTTCTTAAAAGCCCATTTTCTTATCCCTTGATTTCCCACACAAAAAAGAAAATTGGTCTAAATGGAATAAGAACATAACTTCTCTCTTTGGAAATACCGCCCTTTGCCTCCTTCCCACCCCCCGAAAGCCAAATGATGCAAACTGCTCTAAGGGATAAAGCTGTTTGGATTTTGCTACGAATGCAAACTCTTTGAGCTGATGTGTATCTAACCTCGCTGGGTTTTATCCTGATTCAGTGGGTTTTTATTGACCTGGATTGTGTCTGGGAATTGTTTTGTGTGCTAAGTCCTGTCAGGCACCTGTAGAAATTAAGAAGTCTCAAGTGCCTGTTCTGGGAGCAGAGGTGGTTTTCATGAGCTTTCATCTTCCTCTTCGACATATGGAGCCTTTCCTTTTTCAGCAAGTCATCATAAACCAGTCTAAAATGTAGGTCATCCATAGCTAAGGTGAAAGTATTAAAATTGTTTGCCCCCTTTTAAAATAATTTTAACTTCATCTGAATATCGTAAGGTGAGCAACAGTCAAATTAGTTTTAAGGTAGATCTATTTTCCTGTACACTTAAAAATAATTAAGTTTCAGAACTGGAAGAGACCCAGAAGTTGTCTTGACCAGTTGTCTCCACATTCTGATCAGCTTGTCTGGTTGCATCTGAATCACCTGCAAGCTTTTATAAAACTTTTTATCTTGAAAAAATTTTCAACTTAGGAAAAGTTGCAAGCATAATGCAGTGAACTGCATTGCACTCATCATCTAGATTCACCAGTTGTTAACATTTTATCTCATTTGCATGCACATTTTTTCTCTCTCTCTCTCAAATGTATATGTATTGTTGCTGTAGTTGATGATGAACTGTTTAATACTTAGTCATGGACATCATGACCCTTTAACCCCAAATACTTAAACATGTATCTCCTAAAACAAGGGCATTCACTTGTATAACCACAGTATAGTTATCAAATTCAGGAAATTCTATATTGATATAATACTGGAATCTCTGATATAGAATCTGTGTTCAGATTTCACCAATTTCCCCAATAGTATCCTTTAGAGCAGTTTTTTTTTCCTGGTATAGGATCCAATCCAGGATCATACATAATTTGGAACAATTCCTCAGCCCTTCTTAGTCTTTAATGACTAGGAACCACAAACATGACGTCCCTGGGTGGGACCGAACCACCAACCTTTCAGTGAACAGCTGAACCCGCTAAGCGATTGCCATAGAGACCTGTGACACTGACGGTATTGAAGAATATAGACCAGTCATTTTGTAGACTATCACTCAGTTTGAGTTTGTCTGATATTTCCTCCTGATTAGATTCAGGCCCTACAATTTTAGCAGGAACGCCACAGGAGTGATGTTATATCCTTCCTTCACGTTATAAGGCACGTGATGTCAGTTTGTCTCGCTGATAGACGATTGCTTGGTCAAGTTGGTGCCTGCTAGATTGGTAAGCTTTTTAATAATAGTCTTCCTGGACTTTACCCTTTGAGGTGCTACCTTGGCAAGTCTGGGGTGGGACTTAGTTTACTTTTAAGTTCCTGTGTAATTCCAAAACAAAGCCAGTTTGAGAACCACTGATCTAGGCCAACTTTCCATCCAGAGCAGGAATCGTTTTCTCTCACCTGAAAGATGAGCCACCTACCCTTTGTTTTATTTGGTTGTTTGTTTCTCTTGGTAACAACCAGACTTACTGCTTGGCAGCCTCTTTTTGGATTCCACTGATTTTTGGTTTCTTACACTTGGCTGATCCCTGTCTTCCTAAACTTGCCATCTGTTGGTCAGGGTTCTGCCTTCCAGAGCGCTGCAGAGTAAGTCCAACTCTTCTTCCACATGGACTCAGTTCTCGTGTTTCTCTCGTGTCTGCTAGATCTCAGTAGGCCCAGTTTGTCCAGCTTTTGCTCCAATTTTGGTAGATTTCTGAGACCTGTGCCGTTGTTGCTACAGAGAGCCGTAGCTCAGTGGTTTCTAACTTAGGCATCTATCAACAGCGGCCAGGGTACAGTCGGGCTCTAATCTAAGCACTGGGAAGTGCTGGTTTAGAATAGTTTCAAGAGGAGAAAAGCCACTGAAATGTTTCTGTATAGTTTTCTGTTGCTTGTAGTTTATGCGTATGTGAGATACGTAGATAGGCATAAACAATGCATAAATATACTGGATTTATACACTAAATGTAAAGGGTATTGGGATCTTTCTTCTTAGAGGTACTGGCTATAGCAAGGAGAAATGAAAGTGAGTCTCAGGATGGGCAGGAATGGAAAGTTTGTGCAAAGACTTTTGCAAATTGGGGTGTTTGATCTTAGTCACCTTCCTCAGTCCAAATACACAGTAATAAGATTCTGGGAACTCTTGAGGTGTGATGAGCACCTGTGGTGTGATTTGGAAGGTGTGAAAGAGAAAGATTCTGGGTCCTGAGGAGTGTGTACTCCCCTTGGAATCCCTCCCTTTCTTGTGGGTTCCTGAATCAACACTAGTGATTTCCTGCCCTGATAGTTGTCACATTCAAAGCTCCTGGGAGCTGGTAGGAAGAGCTCATTGTGATGGCCTGTGTTCAGTAGTTGAGAGATGGGATCACAGACTTCAACTCAAGAGTGTTATAATTACCAGACCGTGTTTGGCAAGACTGAAGCATGAGAAAGATGCTTTCTAAACTGTGAATTTGAGTATAATATTCTGCAGAGATGTGGTTAGGCCATTTTGAACAGAGGCAGGAAATTTGCCTAGTAGTGATCAAGACCTTGCTTTCAGTAAGTCAGCTTTGTGGTAGGTGCCCTGGTTCTAGCAAAAAACAACAACGAAAAACCCCAAGATTTTTCTTTTCTTTCCTCCTGCTGGATAGCTTAGAGTTTTACAGTTCTTCAGGCCCTAATAGCGTATTTTTTTACAAAATCGAGGACAGATTATTCTGGTTGTTGGGAGACAACTTGTATATAAAAGAGACAGCAGTGTCTGCCTCAGAGTAAACAAGTTGTTCTGGATTGGGGTTTTAATAAGAATAAGCCAACTTTCTTGGCCCTGCTGTCATGTTAATCTTGAGATATAAAACCCTGAGAATCCTCTTAAAACTTCTTTGGGTTGCCAGTCTGCCCTGGAACCACTGTAAAGAAAGCCCCCATGTGTTTTGATGAAGCTGCCTCTCATGGTGAGAACATGAAGTGAAGCCAGCTCTAAGTTGGCTCAGGGAGTTCGTGCTCAGTCGGAAATGGGCATTCCAAATGGGTGTCTTAAGTGGTTCGTTTGGCACGGGGAACCCCAAAGGTTTGCTTTCTGCCCAGAGTTTCCCCTCCCCTCCAGCCTTTTAGGTTGACATGGAATCCACCCCTTGGGCCCAGTTGTAGCACAGGAGGCCATTGCTAACCAGCTGTGTCCTGTGGTCAGCAAAGGCTGTCTGCACTTCAACTGCTGATCTCCTTGAGCTGTGTTTGAGCTCAGCGCTGCTTCCTCTGTTTATCTGTGTGCATTTATCTTTGCATGTGGCTCCTGCTACCACCCTTTCTGTCCTTATTTCATCAAAAAGTTTTTCTTTGCTATCACTCTGGCCTTTGGGGACCTCGCTCCCAGCAGCCCCTGATCTTTCTGGTACACTTGGTGTAGCTGGAAAAAAAATGATGCAGTCAAATGCCAGATCAAAAGCAGATGGAATTGCATGCATGTTTGGGTAACTCCTGGTCTGTTACTTTTAATGTAATTAATAGAATTAAAGTAATTGTGGAAGCATTTCATTTTTACCTTTTGATTACTGAAAGGTGCACAATATTGACTTGATGAACACACCACCTCGTCAGTTTTGTTTTCCGAAAGTGGCAGAAGCCTCCTGGATAAATTTAGGAATCTCAAAGTCTTGTGGGAGAATTATTTTCATTAGTGCATCTAAAAAAGGAGAGGTCATGGAAATTACTTTATTCCTGCTCTGATTATACATTGTCAGTAGTAGTAAAAGAAAGAGCACAATTGGAATGATTAACATTTTGCTTCTGATGGTGGATGAAGCACAAACTTCTCCTCTTTCATCCCAGGTTCTACCTTTAGTTTGAAACAAAATTGGCATTAAAGGGCCCCAGGGTTGTGAATTTGAATTACATGTTACAACTTTGAATATTTTGCACCTCTCAGAAAACATTCTGGTGTCTGATTGAATCTTTCCTACATAAGAAGAAACACTTTCCTGTGTTGTAGATTGTGCATGCGTTGATTGGTGCAGGCTCCTGGAGTAGGCACAGGGTGACAGCAGGGTCCCAGGTTCCTCTGTGACTGAGCTCAGGCGCCTCCCTCCCCTGGAAATGGGTGTTGGCTGAGATCTCGAGAGTGATTTTTGGTGCTCAGCTCTGTTACTTTGATTGTTGGCTGGTTGATTTGCATGCAAGACGCTATGCAGATGACAAACTCTTTCAAAAAAGCTTGTCTGTAAGGCAGTGGACGGTCAACAAAGCCAGAATCAGAACTACAGGGTTGGCTGAATATAAATTGTAAAACCAGTTGAAGTTTAAAATGAGTCAATGGCAGTGATATTATTGGCATTCATGTGTGCCAGGGCTTCTCCCCAGGGCCCACCACATTCCCCAGTTCACTCTCCTTGCAGTCTGTGGACACTTCCTTCACGGCACACAGGAGACAGTAAATCTGAGGGGGATGACAGCTTCCCCTGTGGCAGTAACTGGGGCGCGCTGTGGCTGATTGGAGCAGCCGGCCTCATTTGTTGGGGAGTACGTCTTCATTCTGACCGACTTCTAGAAGTCCCCAAATACCGCTGCTATTGTCCTCATTTAAATTTCAGTGGTTTTCCATGTGATCGTCCCAGTCAGAGGCCAGTCTGCCAGTTACCCTTCTGATGGGATCTGCTTGTCAACTCTTTAGAACAACGACAACGAGACAGCCCTGCACTGCGCCGCGCAGTACGGCCACACGGAGGTGGTGAAGGTCCTCTTGGAGGAGCTGACGGACCCCACCATGCGCAACAACAAATTCGAGACCCCTCTGGACCTGGCTGCACTATATGGGAGACTGGAGGTGGTGAAGATGCTCCTCAATGCACACCCCAACCTCCTGAGCTGCAACACTAAGAAGCACACCCCCCTGCACTTGGCAGCGCGGAACGGCCACAAAGCTGTGGTGCAGGTCCTGCTGGACGCCGGCATGGACAGCAACTACCAGGTAGTGGAGCAGACTCCCCCCCCCCATCCCCACCCACCAGGCTCCAGGGGCCAAGTCATGGTGGGCAAGGCACAAGGACCATGCTGCTGGGCTGCATTCTTATTTAGCACGTTTCACATGCCATGTCAGACGCTTCCATCCATTGACTCATTTTCATGTGAAACTTCAGAGACAAACTCCTCAAGTGAGTCTGTGACTGGTTTTTTTTTCTCTTTTCTTTCCTTTCCTTTCCTTTCCTTTCCTTTCCTTTCCTTTCCTTTCCTTTTCTTTTCTTTTCTTTTCTTTTCTTTTCAGGGGTAATATATAGTCATTATGCCCTGAAAAGATGTGCTTGTGGACTCTCTCTCCAAATTAGAAAAATTTCATTATCTTCCTATACAGGCGTTCCCACTGCCACCATTTGCCACTTGCAAAGTCCCATCGACTTGTTATTGCCAGCAGGAAGTTTAGCATTTCCCTGCATAGCTAGCTTTGTCCATTCCAATGAATGACTGTTCCTTAGGTTTTACATTGACCAGACCACCCAAGCACATGTGAAGTTAGGGTGGTATTTTATTTATTTGTTTGTTTGTTTGTTACCCTTGTACTTTTCTTCTTGTTATTCCTTCCACCCGGGAAGGGAGAGTCTTGAGGAGTTTCACCAATAGGTGGCTCCAAGAGTTGCTGCGCAGTTATTCCTGTGTGGCCTGATGGTGGCACTTCAAGCACACTTCACATCGGGCCATGCTTGTGGTCCGGGAATCCAGACAAGAAAAGTGGGAAAGATAATGACAGAGGACTTTGTGTGGTTGATTTTATTTTCCTGCCCCTTCGTGCCTATATCCCGTTTGTCGTGTGGAGCCACGCCGAACCTGGGTCACTGTTCTGATGACATGCTGCTCTGCGCTCTCGTTTGCCTTCCAGACGGAGAAGGGCAGTGCTTTGCATGAGGCTGCTCTGTTTGGCAAGACTGATGTGGTGCAAATCCTGCTGGCTGCAGGTGAGAGGCTGGCCGCGCTCTCGTTCCCGCGGCATGCCAGGGGTGGGCTTGTTTCTCCCTAGCCTCCCACAGGGGGGATTTTTGCTGGCTGAACTTGAACCCAATGGATGTATGTCTCCACTGGTTGATTGCAAGTGTACGAATTGTTCTCGAAGAGCTGGATTAAATGGCTTTGGATGAAAAAATGTTGGTCGTGCTACTGGGAGCATTAAGAGTCCTGGAATTTGACCCCTTTTGAGGCTGACTTGCAACTGCTCACTCCCCCCTGGTCCACCTGGTGTGCCTTTCTAGGAATTGATGTCAACATAAAAGATAACCGTGGCCTGACTGCCCTAGACACTGTCCGGGAACTGCCTTCTCAAAAGAGCCAGCAGATAGCAGCGCTTATTGAAGGTACCCGTTCATCCGCCTGTCGGGGCGACCAGGGGACACAGTGGCCAAACCAAGGCATTTGTATTTGGTGCAGCTTTTTTTGTCTTTCCACTTAGATCACATGACTGGAAAAAGAAGTGCAAAAGAAGCCGATAAAACCCCCACTTCCCAGGGACCTCTCATCTCCAATATGGACTCCATATCCCAGAAGTCTCAGGGTAAGGTGGCCTTTCTCTGACAACGAAGGGGCTCTCAGCTTGATGAGTTGAATGGTCTTTGGTAGAATAGAAAAAGCTTCATTTAAATAATAACTTCAGGGGGTTGGGAGTACTTAATAAGTTCATATTCACATTTATTGTTTTCCAGCTAGTATGTGAACTTTTATTGGACAGAGCTTAGGCCCTTTACTTTGGACCTCTTCTTTCCTACTTTATCTTATTCTCTACTCTTACGGTTGGCTCTGTGAGGTCTATTCTGGGATGTGTTGTCAGCGGGATGATCTCAAGATGAATTCAAATCTCAAGGAAACCTTTTCCTAACACACACTATTCTGCTTTGAGCATAGTTGGCCCTCAGTAAATACTGAGCAAGTATCATCTGGTTGGTAGACGTGTGTATGGCAGATTTTGGTACTATGTCATTTGGCCGACAAATGTGGTCTGGGCACTAGCTTGGGCAGTCCAGCCTCCCCATCATTAGCCACGACCCACCCTTTCAGATTTATTGAGCAGCCTTTTGGGTGCTAGGTATGATGAACGAGAAAGACAAAACACTGACTGACGCCTTCCCTCAGATACAAAGCATAGTAAAGAAGGCCAGAGGAACAGAACAAAACCAGACACTGAAGTGCGAAAGGGATTTTTCAGAGGGGTGCAGAGGTATAAGGTTAAAGGGTGCTTGGCCTGTCTTCACTGTGGAGTCCTTGTCTGCCCCCACCTCCACCACCCCCACTTTTTTTTCTTGACCTCATAATCTACTGGTAATGGGATTAGTAGTTCACTAAGCTCTTAGCTTTCAAGGATTTTACAGTTATGGTTTTGACTATTTGCCAGAGACCCAGAGATCTCTGGTCCACAACAGTCTAACTTTTCAGAGTCACAAATTTGGATCCCAGGTAGGCTGAGGTTCGTAATTCTCTGGTGAGTTTAACCTCGCACACTGCCTCCGTGTCAGAGAGCTTCACCATCCTCTCATTTGCTTGAGCACGTGGAGGTTTCTACTAAGAATTTAAAGGATTACTTAAGTTTCCAGTTATACTTCACTACGTTTTATGGTTTAAGTTTACACTATGATGACATTGAGGTTCTGGGGAATTTTAAAGGTCTTGGGAGGTATCCCTCATAGGTGTCAAGGGTTTGCCATTTTGAATTAGAGAAAAATCTCTTGAAGTCTCAGGGTATGAAGAGCAACTGAAACTCTCTATATTTATTCCTGTCCATGGAGTAAAGCAGTCATTTTATTTTCTTGCTGTCGGTTACGTTTGTCAAGTTCAGGTTGATGAGGGGCTTTGGGTGGATGCAGTGGTTGGAAATCCGAGATTGTGCTCTCTGTCCATTGACTCTTGCTCTCTAACCTGTTCAGGTGACGTGGAGAAAGCAGTGACTGAACTGATCATTGATTTTGACACCAATGCTGAAGAGGAGGGTCCCTACGAGGCGTTGTATAATGCTGTCTCCTGCCATTCGTTGGACAGCATGGCCAGTGGGCGATCGTCTGACCGAGACTCCATGAACAAGGAGGCCGAGGCAGCAGGAGTGAAGGCTGCTGGAGTGAGGCCTGTATGTGGCCTGGGGCCCTCGACAAGCGGGGGCTGTGTTGTCAGCCTGTGCTTTGGTGGGGAGCTGGGAGAGGGAGTGTGCCCTGAGTGCCCGCTCGCTTTCCAGAAGCCTGCAGCCTACTCCTTCTGTTCTCCTGGGGCTCTGCCACATCTCTCTATTGCCTAGTGTGGTTAAACTATATAGGTCCCCTTGAGGTAGAATTTTAGTTTTTCTGATTTCGGTATAACATGTTTGCATCATTCTATTAGTTTTTGGCCTTATAGCAAATTGAAACATTTTATTTCCATTTAGCCTCATGAGGAGTCTGTCTTTCGGGTCTTTGTGGTAAGTTGTTAGTTTTATCTCTGGAGAGCAGTTCCACAGTGAAAGAGCTCACTGAAGTAAGTTCTTGTCTGCCCTGAGTGCATTCTCACCTTCCATTTGCCCTCAGACTGTTATCCATTTGGATCTGGACAGATTCTGCATTCAGCAGGGTTGTAGTGAGGCTTAATCAGATATCGCTGTGTGTTAGTATGTGGCATTCCTCTTTTTCCCAGTTATAATGTCTCCAGCCATTTCTTTCTCAAGGTACACCTTCCCATCTTTCTTCTTCTTACTACTTGCTTTTGCGTCCAGTCTTGTCCATTGTTCTCAGGACTTTTTACTCCCTTTTTCTCCCTCAGGGTTTTACTCTGAGCCTAAGCCTGAATCAGTGGTCCCATTGACCTTCCTTCCTACATTGCTAGCATAATAATTTGAAGTTTTGAGCACCGCATTTTTACTGAACTTGCCATTGCTTAACAGAATCCCAGTGATCCCAGCTTGAGGCAGATTTTCAGGTGTATATTATTTCTTCCTGTTGGAGAGGCCAGCATTTCCCTTTTGGTCTAAATCTGCTTTATGACCATTTAGATGAACCTTTGGCCGCTAGGTGATCTTTGGGTTTTTCAGATGTGCCCTGGGAATGGCTTGATGTTTCTTAGTGTTCTTTTTTGTTAGGTTCCATGTCTGGTCCTAGAATAGTATTTCTGTATGAATTTTGGAAAGGCCCATCAGTCTGTGGTAGCCCACTGGAGTGGGTATTATCAAGGACTGGTAAAACTCCTTGTGAGTGATGGAAGCACCTGCATATGCCAAGGACCCCTAGCATGGTGCTTCTGTAGACAGAGCTGGTTTGTTTCACTTTCACCTTAGGTACGTTGAAGCAAGCAAACCCACCTGTGGAGGAAGGCATTGCTTTGTGGTACTTACAGGTGATGTCCATTAGAGGGAGCTGGAGGCTTTATAAGAAGAACACAGGGTTCCTGAAGTGAGCTCTGAATAACCAAGTTCCTGTGGGCTTAGCCACTGATTTATAGTCTCTTTGTTCTGTCCCACTCCAAGAATCTATCCTCCGGTGATCTTGCTATAAGTAAAAACTGATGCATCTTGGGGTGCATGCTTTGCCATTTTTACTTGAGTATGTGGTGGCTGTGCTACTTGGTAATTACCTGTGGCCAAGGGACTGCTCTACATCTTACCAATGCAGTGGATGGTGAGTGTAAATCAGCTCTGCACTTACAGGCCCTGGGCCAATGTTCTCATATTCGGAAAAAAAGAACCTCCTGCTTCTCTTTGTTTCCAGTGTCCCTGGTGGTCACTTCTTGCACAAGAGGTGTTCATGTTGTTCTTTCTAGGCTCCTTTAGTCTTGAGAGGGCTTCTGGGATGGGTCCTTTTTGTTGCTGTTGTGTTCCATTTTGTTTTTCCTCAGCTGTTTTTGTCCCAAGGTTGGATAACTGGTGTGGATGATGGGCCTGCTCCCTTTGCTATTCCCTCCCTTACGAGGTGCCACTTGCAAGGAACCACTCTTGTTTCTGCACTTCTGGAGTAAGACGGCTAGGGAAAGTGGAACTTAGTAGGAAATCTGGTCTCATAGCTTTGTTTGGCTTGAAAAGATGAACCTGTTTTGAAGTTGTTGCCGTTGGGCGGCCATCTGGTTCCAGGGACTATAGGAATGACTGATTTATCAAGATAGATCCCCGAGGGGCAAAGCATATTTGAACAGAGAGAGATCATGGATGCCAAATGCTAACCGAATGCCACCTGACCCTGGCCGCTCGTGGGACACGGGAGACATCTTGCAGACCTCTCTGAGGCTCTTGCGTAATTCAGCACGTGTCTCCACCCTGACTTTTATAAATATTACTGTTCTAGCAACACGGTGAGCTAACCTACAAGCCAGGGAGTGAGCCTGCAAGCCAACTCCTGGGTCAGGTTCCCACTCCCTTCCCTGTAGGAACATGATTATGAAGCATGATTAGGACTTCGGAGTGTAAACAATGCTGACAGTACCATAGGTACAATGGCAAATCTCTCTCCAGCCTTCTGCCACCGAAGGTTGTGTGTATTCCTGAAATTGTCCACCTCACTTGACCTCGCCAATCCCTCTTTCAGGGTGTTTCTTGCTTCAGGGCAGGGGTTGGCAAGATATGGCCCACAGACAGCTGCCCATTTTTTGAATAAAGTTTTTTTTTTTTTAATATTTTATTTATTTATTTGAGAGAGAGAGAATGAGAGATAGAGAGCACGAGAGGGAAGAGGGTCAGAGGGAGAAGCAGACTCCCTGCTGAGCAGGGAGCCCGATGTGGGACTCGATCCCGGGACTCCAGGATCGTGACCTGAGCCAAAGGCAGTCGCCCAACCAACCGAGCCACCCAGGCACCCCTGAATAAAGTTTTATTGGAACACAGCCACACTTGTCTACGTATCTTCCCTGGCTCCTTTGTACTGCAGTGGTGGGGTTGACCACAAAGCCTAAAATATTTACTGTGTGGCCCTTTAAGAAAGAGCTCGCCAACCCTTGCTCCAGAGCAGACAGCTGACAAATACTCCTTTTTTTAAATGGGCTGAGATGAAAGGTTTTAATATGTGAGCGATACATAATACATTGAAGGAGGTGGCCAAGGATTAGATAGAGATCAGTTCTGAGCTTTGGTGAATTAATAGGGGTAGCGTTAAAGTTTGAGTAGGAATTGATGTTTTTGTCCTTGATTACTTTCCTCAACACTTCCTTAATAATGCGGGTTTGTTAGAACTCTGACAAGTTGATTTTTTTGATTTACGACTTCCTCTTTTTAATATAGTCTGAAAGTTGAGCCACTGGCTTTTCTGGGTTAAAGTTTTATTATGGGTATTATGAAGGACATTTTCTGACAAGGCAGGACCGTGGTTTCAGTGCTGATATTTCTCACTGTGGTCTAGAATATGAAACAAGTGTTTATAATCTCTGCTACAAACATCAAAAAGTGAGGAGCGTGCTGATTGAATTTTATGTTTGGGGGGGGGATGTATGTGCAAATACTAAGCCATCTGTTCAGGTACTGATCCTTGAGTTGAGTCTCTCAGGGGAGTTCTTTACATTATTCTTTTCCATTTCCAAGGGCTAAGATAAGAACAGAAAGTTAGATACTAAAAGAGATAGTGACATATTTTTCTCTTCTACAGAGGGAACGTCCACCGCCTCCAGCAAAGCCACCACCCGATGAAGAGGAGGAAGACCACATAGATAAGAAGTATTTTCCCTTGACAGCTTCTGAGGTAGAGGGTTGAGGGTTTATTGCCATCACTGAAATATGATTTTTTGGAAAGTATATCGATGTGTGCTTAAAGAAGACTTTGCTTTCTCATTTTCTTATCGCCTCTTTGGATTAGTAAGTTTTGTGTATATCAGTAATCTGGAAGAAGCCCTTTCCAACTCACTCAGAAGTACTAAGCAAAGAATTTTAATGGAGCTATCTAGCAGACAGGCCAATTATTGATCTACATTGCACATTGAAAGTAAACCATGCACATTTCTCCTGGTGGCTCCAGTAGCTAAACAGTTGACTTTTTTGCTTTTTTTGTGTACCTGTGTCATCTTTTGATACAAAATGTAGAGTATGCCCCCAATCACTGTTCTATAGACTGTGTCATATTAGCAAGCTTTGGTGGTTCTGCCCCAAGTGTCTTATTTCTGTTTTCACATTTTTCTTCTCCGTTTCACATGAAGAATCCACCAGGACAAACATTGAAAATGTCATGAAGACTCAAGTAGAAGAGAAATAGGAGTCATGGGGGTGGGAGAAATCAAAAAAGTTTATTTGAGAAGACTAGTCCATCTTTTTAAAGAAGGATTATTATGGGGCAAATCATTCATTCTTCCTTTTTGGTTGTATGAAGAAAATCATATTTTCCGTGATCTTTCATTTTCAGAATGCTCCTTTAATACTTCCTACCGTGGAGAGAATATGTTTATTCAGTATTTATTCAAAATACTACATAATTTCATTATTTTGTTGCTCATTCAGTGGCCTATTGGTCTTTAATTTAAAAATCAGCTGATATAAACTAGTCAACTAAGTCTCATAACTTTATCCCTAGAAGTCAGAGTTAATTTTTTTACTGTATTGCCACAGACCATCCAGTGAGACAGGTTCTTTTACTTAGTATAAACACATGGAACCAGAAGGATGGCTTTCATTTAAGAAAATGTATAAATACAAGGATGCGGTTTTAAGAATGTGAAAGTCAGTGTTGAAAATAGGGGAAGATGTTTGTGCTGGGTACAAATTCTGTCCCTATTTCTTTGTATGCCTTAATTACAAAATGCCTATTATCATGTTTCAACTAAAGGGTCTCCAGAATTATAGCCTCTAAGGTGATAATACACTGCTAGCAGATAGAAGTGCATGTAGCAGACCCTGCATGTTTTTATACAGAGATTTGCTTCATTACTCCCTTTTTATAAGGAGAAACCTGGTATCATGGAGCATATTTACCTGGGGCTAGGTCTCTATAAATGCCTTATGCCACCTCTTTAACAAGGACTTGGATTAAAATTCCTAATGCCCAAGGATAAGTGCAAGGCTCTTAAAGAAGTATTAGATAATGAGGACTTTCTATTCTTCAAGACTTTTCAGAGAATATGATTTGTCAATAACACTGTTAAGAGAGGGGCACCTGGCTGGGTAGGTTAGTTAGTGTCTGTTAGGTAGGTTGGTTAAGTGTCTGTCTTCAGCTCAGGTCATGATCTCTGGTCCTGGGATCTGGCCCCACGTTGTTGGGCTTCCTGCTCAATGGGGAGTCTGCTTCTTCCTCTGCCTCTTGCCTCGTGTGCGCATACGCGTGTGCGTTCTCTCTTTCTCTCTCTCTCAAATGAATAAATAAAATCTTTAAAAAAAGCAAAAAACAACAGTATCAAGAGATAGGGGGAGAAATCTCCATATTACTCTCCTGGATGGGAGACTCTGAGATACTTTTTCTAGGACTTGCTTCTGAATAGTCTAGAATTCTGGGTCAGTTGGGCCACTGTAGTCAGAAGACCATGAGAACCCCAGCCTTGCTTACTTAGTGATTATAAGTACATAAATACGGAGGTGATGTGGTCTATGTCATTATCCTTTTAATGATCAAGGCAGATTCTGTTTGCTGTAGTTTGAATGACTAGGTCTTCTCCAAAAGTGGACTTTTTTTTTTTGTTGGACTCTAGTCTTCCCTATTTTGATTTCTTACACTCCCAAAGCTTTACTACCCTAACTCTCATATCCTAGGAAGCACTGGCTCATCACAATTTAGGCTTTTATATTTGGCAGGCCATCTTCTTCAGTGTTTGTGTCCTATTCCCTAGGCTTGTCATTGTCAGATGACCCATAGAAGCTTTTAAGGGAAGCTGAGTATAGCTGGCTTCAGGAGAGCTTATCAGATTAACGACCAGGTCATGAAACTGGCTTAAAGAAATTAAACAGCTACACATGTGTGTGCACACACGCTATCGAGATGTTTTTGCCCCGCCAAATGGGCCGCCAGCTTCATCGGACTGACCAGGGTCTTCTCTATGCTCAGATGTGTTAAACATTCATGGGAAGGTGCAGCTGCCCTGGTATCTCTTCCCAGAAAACTGCCCACACCCCAACCGGTCATTCCGTTGGTCACAGTTAGGTGGTGACTGGTAGTAGCTTCTCTCTGCAGCAAAAGTGTTCCTTCCCACGTAACAGAGAATATGGCTTTTTGGCTTTGATTTATGGTCAGCTCTAGAAGAAAGGGGCAGAAAAGATTAAGGAATAATCTAGTAAAGAGCAGAATCCTTTCTGTTGAAAATCAGTTATTGCCATATTCACTGTGACACAGAGCTTCTTGAGTGGGAGTTAGGAAGGCCCAAAGCAAAGCAGTCTATTGCTTTATTATGAGATTTTAATCCCATAGCTGGCGGGAGCCAGGAAGGACTAAGGAAAAGATCACCTTAGAAGTTGTCTGGATGTAAGCAGGGGACTCTCAGTAGAGTCTGAAGGAGGAAAAGAGTTCCAAATTGGACGGAAAGTCCTATTTCCCAGAAAAAAAAAAAATGAGGCCATCTTGGTCCAGAATCAGGGGAAGTGAATTTTATGGCCCTGGCTCTGCTGGTTGCTCTCTGTGTAACCTTGGGCAAGTCCCTAGACCTGTCTGGGAACTCGGTTTGGGCATCTGCAAAGGGAAAGAGCTGGAGCCAGGTGCTCTTTAGCTGTGATCAGAACGGTTCAGGTCTCTTCCAGCTCTAGCATTTGCTGGTGCTGTGCTTCTTGTTGTCATGCATGAGAGCCAGGCACAGAGTGACCGAAGGTCCAGTGGGCCTGATTTTCCAGATGGAAGTCATCAGCTGTCCTGCTTGAGAAGAAAGGATATTATAGGCCGGGTATCCAGACTGTCAACTACCTTTCAGAGAAGCATGCCTGGGGCTATATGAGGGCCCTTGCTGTGTGCAGAACACTCACGGAATCAGATTTCCAGGGCTCTGGCTAAGTGATAGCTATGGGTGTGTAAACCTACAGAACACAAATTCCTGTCTGTAAAGCCTGTGGTATTAAGTTGACACTGTATGAACTGCTTAATGGTCCCTCTTTGTTCCCTTAATTGTGTTCCTATGAAGAGGCAAAAGGAATAAGTAATACAGGCAAATGGCTCGTTGTAATGAAATAGCTTTTAGCTTCCAGGTGGCTTTCAGTAAAGTGGAGGTTCCTGCTGTGCTTAGCAGAATTTCGGAAAGAGACTATCATTCTGCCTTTGGAGTGGCAGCCTTGTTACCAAACAGGAGCCACAGCCTCTCATTTAGTCGGGGGCTGCTAGCGAGAATCCTTGTTGTCTCATTAGTTCCTAACACAGTGAGCTGTGTCTCCAAGAAGCAAAACCCCGATGAATCACAAACCTGATTTATTTCCAGTGAGCTGTGGGGCATGTCTGAAGGAGGAGGTTTCTGCATGTACCAAAGAATCACATTTGTTAGGGTACCATTATTTGTTAGGTGGACTTGGGAATTCCTCTGAACCCCTCCTCTGTTCGTGATGTATCACTTCTCCTAGCCAAACTGCTCAAAAGGAGATTTCGTGCTTTGGCTCGCTCTCCTAATAGCTGGTACATGATTATTCTTAATTTGCCTATGACACGCATTGGATTCTTAGGATAGATGAGCCAGAATGATCGTCTAAATCAAGGATCTCCATTCTCTCTCTTAGTGTGACTGTGGCACTAATTATGGTGTTTCTGGCCTGGTTTGAGGAGGAAGCTTGGCCACCTTGGTACCATGACTAGCTGTGGCCATGAGGCCCTCAGCTGCCTAGACCTAGTTGGTGGGTGTGGAAGCCAGCTCTGGTCCAGGTATTCCCTCAGAGACACTTGGCTGCCTGGATCAGGGATTTCTCCATTGACGAAGCTGCTTTTTTTCTCCACTGAAATTCATACTGCCTAGCCATTTGACTCCTTTCACACAGAGATTGGTGGAATTAATTTAAACTCGTATTACCATAAATGTAGTAGGAAGCTGGCTTTTGAGAGAAACTTCCCTGTAACCCCCAGGACCTGTGAAGAAAGCTCACAAAAATAGAGAAGGATGCATAGAGCACTTTGTTTCTGGTAAATGTCGGTCATTCGGGATCAGTCAGAAGTCATTTGATTCCCTCTTGAGAAGGTGGGAAGGCTTCCAACCTTGGGGTCGTATGTGTGCATATTGGGGAAGAATTGTGGAGAAAGAAGGCCTTGTGAGGCACCCTGGCTAAAAACCGCTTGGAAGCTACTACCCACTGAAAAGAGACCATGCAGAACACTGTGATGATGGGAGAGGCAAGGGAAGGGAGGATCTTGGATTTTATTAATGGCTTTTTGAAGGATAAAATGAGGTAGGAAAAGGGGAGTGTTTTTTTTTTAAAAAGATTTTATTTATTTATTTGAGGGAGAGAGAATGAGAGATAGAGAGCACGAGAGGGAAGAGGGTCAGAGGGAGAAGCAGACTCCCTGCTGAGCAAGGAGCCCGATCTGGGACTCGATCCTGGGACTCCAGGATCATGACCTGAGCTGAAGGCAGTCACTTAACCAACTGAGCCACCCAGGCGCCCCGGAAAAGGGGAGTGTTTTAATCAAAGGCCATTGAGATCTGAGGTACAGGTGCATATCCAGAAAAGCACGTGGTTCCACGTGACACTTGAGCTGTTTACCTTCTCTCCCCACCCTGCTTCCTCTCTGGTGAAAAAGGAGCCAATAATCTCGAATTTGTTCTGCATAACCTGTCCTGGTATTAACCACCCACATGAGAAGTTCTATGGTGTTTTCTCTCTTAGGTCTTGGCCATGAGACCCTGGATTCAGGGAAGTGCAGCCAGGGAAGAGGAGGAGCATCCTTATGAGCTGTTGTTAACAGCAGAAACAAAGAAGCTGGGATCCATGGACGGGGATGGAAAACCAAAAGGTACGCCCCCGCCCCCAACCCCCTCCCAGCAGAAACAATTACAAAAGGATTTTTAAAGTTTGTGATCCTGGATGGGAAGTAGAGGGTGATGTTCCTTGGGATGGGGAAGTTGGGCGTCACAGCAGTCGGAGGTGATGGGTGTATTATGACCTTTCATTTAGCGTTGGCCTGCCCCCGCCCCCCTTCAGCACATGAAGCAAGGAGGTGGTTAGGTCAGACCAGGTGATGGCTGTGGAAGGAGAGACGGCCTGTGGTGTGACGGAGATTGATTTGGGGTCTCAAGTCAGAAACCCTCAAGTTAATGCCATGGAAAAACAAGCCCAACAAGTCAGTCCCCTGGGGTTCAGGCTGCCGGCACAAGCTCTGCTTTGAGTCCTGACCTCAGAGTGAGACACTCCTGGGGAGGGGCCCGTGATTGGCTGCCACCCGGTAACTAGAGTGCTCTGTCGCCTTGGCCTACTTTCATCGCCTCTGCAAAATTCCGTTTCCTCTGTGAGGGAGCGAGTGCTGCAGGACCCAGAGCCAGGCCGACGACAGAGGTGAGCGCACTGCCGGAGCATGTGTGACAGCCTCTGTGCTAAGAACAACAACAAGGGGCAGTACGGTTCCCACTGCACTTGGAAGGGACTCCTGTGGCCTCCTCCTGTGGCCTCTCCCCGCTCTTTATAGCTTTCGGGTACTGGGTCCTTCGTGGGGCATGATTAGCGCCTCCTTTCAATCCTGATAGTCACGGTTCCGGTAAGAATGGGGGGTGTGATGGCTTTTTTTGAACCACCCTTTGCTGGGCCTGTCGGTGGGTAGGGGGGTGGCAAAGAGAACATGTACGTATGTGTCTGACATCGTAGACCTTATTTTTAACTGTCCTGTTTAAAAGGTTTCTCTTCCAGCATGCAGAAACTTAGTGGTCGTTTTTATAGTAGTTGTTTTGTTTTCGTTTTTTATGGTTTCCATTTGGAGCTTTCTAAAAAAAAAGTTACAATTTTAAATATGGTAAAATTTACCCTTTTTGTGTACAGTTCTGTGAGTTCTGACAAATACAGTTATATAACTGCCTCCCCAGTCAAGGTATGGAATGGTTTTATCACACCAAAAACTCTCGTGTCCCTGTCCCACACCTTTCCTTTACCTCTGGCAACCACTGCTTTTATGTCAGTCCCAATAATTTTGCCTTTTCCAAAATGTCCTATAAATGGGAATCATACCATATGTACCCTTTGAGTCGGGCGCCTTGCACTTAGCATGATTCACTGAAGAGTCCTCCATGTTGTTGTGTGTATCAGTAACTTGTTACTTTCATTGCCAAGTAATAGTCTGTTGTACTGGTGTACCACAGTTATCCATTCTCTAGTTGAGGGGTATTTGGGTCACTTAGAGTTCTTGGCAGTTACAAAAAAACTGTAAACATTTGCAGGTTTTTTTGAACATCAGTTTCATTTCTCTTGAGAAAACACTAGGAATGGGATTGCTGGGTCCTAGGCAAATATATGCTACACTTTATAAGAAACTGTCAAACCATTTTCCAGAGTGGTTATACCATTTTGCTTTTCCATCAGAGTTACAGTTGCTGTGTATCCTCCCTAGCACTTAATATTGCCAGGTTTTTAAAATTGTAGTCCTTCTAATAGGTGTGTAATGATATTTCATTGTGGATTTAATTTGTATTCCCATAATGATTCATGATGTGAACATCTATTAATGTGATTATTTGCCATCCATATAGCTAATGAAATCAATGTCCAACTCTTTTACTCATTTTAAAAAATTGGGTTGTTTATGTTCTTATTATTGAGTCATGAGAGTTCTTTATATATTTTGGATACTACTTATCAGATATGTCATTTTCTCCTAGTCTGTGATTTGTCTCTTTATTTCCTTAATAGTGTCTTTTGAAGAGCAGGGGTTCTTAATTTTGATGACAATGTATCTTTATTTTTTTTTATGGATAAGGTCACAAATATTTTTTCCTATATTTTCTTCTAGAAATATTGTAGGCTTAGGTATCCATTTAGGTCTGTGACCCATTTTGAGGTAATTTTTTAATATGACGTGAGACATAGGGAGAGATTCATTTTTTTGCATGTGGATATTCAATTGTTTCTGCATGATTTGTGAAGGACCCTCCTTTTCTTGCCTTTGTCAATTTGTTATTCTTTTTCAGAATTGTTTTAGATATTCTTTCCATACAAAAATTTAAAATGAGCTGGTTGATTTCTGTGAAAAGTCATGCTGGATTTTTATTGGGATTGTGTTCAATCTATATAGCAATTTGAGGAACTCTCTTAACTGTATTGAGTCTGCTAATCATGTTGGTAGGTTTTTAATTAAAATAGGGAGCGTGGAGTAGAGCACCAATGCGTTCTCTAGTTATTTAATAATAAATCGTACTGAAATTAACCCTTAAAGAGCAAGTACTTAATGCTCTGTTTGGAAGTGGTTCTTAGGGAAGAATTTTTAGCATCAAGGAGGAACGAGATTATTAATTTTTTCTCTCTTTCGAAGGCTTGATCTGGACCCATTATAAGATAGCTGGCTGAACCTTTGGAAGGAAGAAAAAGAGAAAGTAGACAAACTTCATAAATGGGGCTGGTCTCCTTGGCTGCTAAATGCAGGAATTTTCTATCCTCAAGTCGAGAAATCTCCAGGTCAAGGAGGGAACTGCCACAGAGGACTTTAGGCCTCACATCTCCTCCTTTGCTTTGGTTCCTTCCAGCTCAGCAATATTGGGCTAACTGTTAAGAGTAGGTGGTGCGGGAAGCAGATTTAATTGGACCACAGCATGTGGGGTGTGCCTGCCTCCAGGCAAGCTGCGTGGATCACTCAAAGACCTTTCAGACAAAGGAGTTGCGACATTCAAGATGAAAATGGGCTCTGCCAGTTTCTTAGTAGCCTGGAAGGAATGCCTGCTACAGTTGGTAAATGTGAGACAAGTCAGCAGATGATATTACGGATTAGTACAGAGTCAGTTTTTTCTGCTTTTCCACTAATGTCATTACCTTAGGCAGCTTTTATGAGTTAATTCATCAGTTCTCATAAGGCCATGTTAATGAGACTACCAGAGCTTTCAGCCCTCTTTATTATATAATTCACAAACCTATGGCAGGAGGGGTGGGGAGGGAGATTATCTAAATTGTATTTTATTTGTTTTTATTTTTATTTTTTAAGATTTTATTTATTTATTTGACAGAGAGAGACAGCAAGAGAGGGAAGACAAGCAGGGGGAGCGGGAGAGGGAGAAGCAGGCCTCCCGATGAGCAGGGAGCCCGATGCGGGGCTCAATCCCAGGACCCCGAGATCATGGCCCGAGCCAAAGGCAGTCGCTTAACTGACTGAGCCACCCAGGTTCCCCTCTAAATTATATTCTAAAAGTACATTTGTATTAGCTCCTGGGGGAAAAAGAAATTCAGACAATATAGAAGTCAATACAAGTAGAATGGTCCAGTCTTCTCACCTCTCCGCTACTCACAGTTGCTGGAAGTGACATAGTTTGAAAGTGTAGTGTCCGCTTCAGGCCGTTGGCTGTCTTTATTTTTTTTAAAAAGTGACTATGTGAGATCGTTTTGTTTGTTTTTAACAACCTAAAATGGGATTGTATTTCACAAACGGTTTTGCACACTTGTTTTGTTTTTTTAATTTACCTTGTCTATAGATCATGGGTACAATTTTGTTTTAAGATCTTAAATATCTACCTTATTCTTTTTGAATGGTTGTTAACTATCCCATGACTCATTTTTTCTATTCTCTAGTAGATGGATGTTTACATTGCCTCCAGTATTTCTCTGTTATAAATGAAGCTGCTGTGGACATTCTGTACACATACTCTTACATGCTTACAAGAGTATTTCTTTTTTTTTTTTTTAAGATTTTATTTATTTATTTGACAGAGAGAGACACAGTGAGAGAGGGAACACAAGCAGGGGGAGTGGGAGAGGGAGAAGCAGGCCTCCCGCGGAGCAGGGAGCCCAGTGTGGGGCTCGATCTCAGGACCCTGGGATCACGACCTGAGCTGAAGGCAGATGCTTAACGACTGAGCCACCCAGGCACCCCACAAGAGTATTTCTTAAAAGACATTGATAGAAAGTAGAATTAGCCAGTCAGAGTGTAGGTACATGTCTAGCTCTAACTGGTGAAGCTGAATTGCCCTCCCTTGATGGTTAATGAGCACACGCTTTCCCATTCCTTCACCAACATGGGATATTAGCACTCTTTAATGTTTTTCACTGTGATAAGCCAAAAAAGTGTCTTTTGTAATTTGTCTTTGCCTGATCTTGTGAAATTGAGTATCTTGGTCATTAGTGTTAGATGGCCTATGAGTTGCCTATCTTTTTTCCCTCTATTTTTCTACTTAGAAATTAATTAATGGTAGTGGAAACACTTCATATAAATACTGATAATATTTGGCCAAAGTGATACTCAGAGGAAAGTTAGATCTTTAAATTTATTATAAAACAAAGACTGGGGCACCTGAATAGCTTAGTCGATTAAGTGTCCAACTCTTGATCTCAGCTTAGGTCTTGATCTAAGGTCATGAGTTCAAGCCCTGTGTTGGGCTCCATGCCCAACTTAAATAAATAAATAAATAAATAAGACTAAAACTTAACCAAGAGAAAGTAGCAGAGAGGAATTAATAAAGATAAAAGCAGATAGTATACTTCACATACTTTATGGTATGCATATTACACCTCAGTGAAGAAAAAATATAAAAGTGGAAATAATGAAATTTAAAAAAGCAGTAAACTTGACCATTACAATGAAAACTTGTTTGTTTTTTTAAAGATCTCTGATAATTCTGATCAAGAAAAGAGGAAAAAAACACAACATATAGGAATAACATAAAGCACACATATAAGCACAAATTTAGAGATTTTAAAAATTAATAAGGGTTTATAGAAATAAATTTTTGTTGTTAGAGTTGCTGCCATCCCCTGGGATGTCTGTTGGTCCATCACAATGACTGGTAGCATTGGGGTTTCCAGTGGCATTTAGTGCTTGGTGACTAAGCA